GGAACATTTTTTGCATGTATTTTACTATTTCTAATTGGGTTGTTTGTGTTTTTTAAATGTTGAGCTTTAAAAAACTATGCTTTACAGACATGTGTTTTGTTGGGTGTGTGATTTGCCTATATTTTCTCTAGGTCTCTATTTTTTTTTCTCCAAGAGTTTTTAAATTTTTATTTAGAAGACATTGCCTTTTTTCTTTTATGAAAAAGTCCCTCAGTTTTTGTGCTATGGCATTTCAAAAAGGTCTAGCTTTATGGTTTACATTTAACCACATGCTACATCTTGACTTACAATTTTTTGAAGAGTGAGCAATCAAAACTGTTTTGTGTCCATTTACTCTAGTAAAACCTTTTGAAAAAGTGACCCCTCATCTGTTGAGTTGGTTTTCTACCTCTGTCAAAAACTAATTAGATGTATTTGTTGGTGTACCTTTTCAGTTCTCTCTTCTCTTCCATTTATCTGTGTGTCATTTGATTTTTTTTAGCTCCCCATTTTCACTTTGAAAAACAATTCTTCTCACTCTGTTCTTTATTTTCAACATTGTTGTGGCTATTTCTACTATCTCTATACTTCATAGAATCAATTTCCCTAAGCTTACAAGAAACCTTACTGTGACTTTGATATAAATGGTATTGGTGCCAATCACCTTAGTATTGAATCTTCCTTTGTTTGAATGTGGCATGTCCCTATTTAATTCTTTGATATCTTTTATAAGATTATTGGAACTTTCACCATATATCTCACATGTGTGGTTATTTCATTATTTATTGTTCAATTTTCATTATAATAATTGTAAATGGTGTTGGTTTATTTGTTTTGACTTCCACTTCATTGGTAATATATAGATATACAATTGAGGTGTGTGTGTGTGTGTTAATTCTATATTCTGCAGCATAGTTAATTTTATTTTTAGTTATGAAATTTTGTATGTTCCTTGTGATTTTTAATGAGAAAAAATTGGCTTTATGAGAAAATATTTCTATATATCACCATTAATTTTTATGCTACCTGTAGGAATATTTTTAAATAATCTTACATTTGGGGAAATTTCCCCTCAATAGCTAGGTTTTGAATGTTGTGTTGTAGATGATGGTACTATTGATAATTACAAATGCCTTTCACTGTCATTTGATATGGTCTTATGATGTTGCTTCTTGGGCTGTTAACAATATGGATTACACTGAGTTTCTGAATATTGTACCGATCCTTTTTTATATTTTTAATTTGTTCAAATTAGTTATACATGACGGAAGAATATCATACATAAATGGAGTATAACTTCTCATTCTTTTGGTTGTACAAGATGTAGAATTACTTGGTTATGTAACATATATGCAAATAGGGTAAAAATGTTAAATTCATTCTACTATCCTGCCTACCCTATTTTCACACCCCTCCCTTCACTTTCCTCTTCCTAATGCAAAATAATTTTATTCTCCCCTCATCCTCACCCCACACTTCTGTTATTGTATCAGAGAAAACATTTGGACTTTGGTTTTTTGGGATTGGTTTATTTTGCTTAGCATGATATTTTTCATCTCCATCCATTTACTGCAAATGCCATCATCTCATTCTTCTTTAAGGCTGAGTAATATTCTATTGTGTATATATATCACATTTTTCTTATCCATGCATCTGTTGAAGGGCACACTAGGTTGGTTCTATAGTTTATCGTGAATTGAGCTGCTATAAACACTGATATGGCTGCACCACTGCAATATGCTGGTTTTAAGTCCTTTGGGTATAAACCAATGAGTGGGATAACTCAGTCATATGGTGGTTCCATTCCAAGTGTTCTAGTGAACAGTTTCTTTTTGATGGCTGTAATGAGCAATGTTTATTTTTTTCTAATTTTAATTGTGTTAAAGAATGTGAATACACTAAAAACATTCACTTTAAATGTATGAATGTGCACTTTAAATGTATGAATTTCAAATACCTTTATATATTGATAAAGGCATTTGAAACACCAATTGGAATGGTGCTACTTACACCCTTCTCCTCATTGCCACTACCTTATTTCAGGCCATGTGGTTCACCCCCAGCCTGATATTAGCAATATCAGGAACCAAATGTCTAGGCATCACAGCACCTCTCTGGAATTCAGAAATCAAGTGGTCCCAGCACCTCAATCCAACCCTATCTTTCCACAAATTCAGCCCAGGAACCCTATTCTATTAAAGACTTGGAAAAGAAACACATACTGACAGGTTACCCCCTGATGAGAGGGTCCTTTCCACTTCCTCCGAAACACACTAAGTGCTGTCATATTCAAGGGCCAACCATCATGGGCCCATTTATTAAAAATTACATCTGTCCCTCTTAAGGTTTTACAGATCTATACAACCTCATGCCACCGCAAAAAAAAAGGATTCCTCTTCATGTGAGCCACATTTTCAAGTATATCCTAAATTCTTTATGTATGTATATTCTCTAAAAGGCTATGACATGATTTCAGAATGGGTGCAAAATGTTATAACTGAATTTGTTCACTCCACAAAATATCCTTGCATACTAAAAAATACATTTAGAAAATCATATAGAAAGTAAATTAATTCTTTGTGAATACTAAGTACACTGTCAATATTGCTGAAGTTTTAGAACATAAGTTGTCATAAGAATGTCAAAGAGAATTATTAACACATGTGTACATAAAAAAAGGTTTTTTTTAAAATCTTCTTACTCTGTACCACCTATGGACTCACAAGTACTCTCTTCTACCAGCGTTTCATGTCTATTCCCATGCAACTTCTACATAAAACAAATTGAAATATTTGTGATCAATGTGGAAAAAATTCTCAATATTAGTGATATGTCTACTTCAAGAAAGAAACATGTCAAGGACATTTATTGCTTTAACATGTGAAGAATCCAAATGCAAATGACCAGTTTCATTATATGCATAACCCCAAAGCTCTGAAATAAGAATGGTCAAAGCAAAAAAAAAAATACTTAATATATGCATTTAATATCTTATGTAAACATTAAAGTGATAAAAATAAATGTGAAATGTATAGGATTTACAGGATAGCATAATTTAGTGAGAGTAGTATTATTATACCTTCGTTAAATAATGGGTTGAGATGCATAGTACCTGTGTCTAAGTGAGGTCATACTTTACTAACACTGGAATAGAACCTGTGATCACAGAGTATGCTTTCATTTAATAAATATTTACTACTGTGTTTACTCAATGACATTCCTCTTTTAGGTAATAGAACACTCAAATATCAATTAAGAAAGCCAGAGAAAGGAGAGAAGTGAAAGTAATCCACAACCGCATATACATAAGTGATGATTTTTCTAGTAATTTCAGAGAAAGACTGAACCCTCTCTTCAGTGGACAATGAGAAAATGATTTTACATTTTGAGTTTGAGAACTTATACCTATAAAGTGAATAAATGCCCCTAACTATATCTGCCTAACAGGATAGACCTTTAATGCTAACTACAGAATTACTAAACCCCATTCTTCCTAAATGCATAATGTTTACATCTTCACTGGCCTTTGACCAATTCAGGCGAAAAACAAAACATTCTGATCTGGCAGCACCTTCACACCTGCAGCATTCCTCTCTCTTTTCAAATCCCAAAGCACAGTGACTCTTCGCAAGACGTTTTCTACTCCATCTTTGAAAATCTTTCTTAACTCTTCTGAGCATTTTAGGGTGGGTGACAGTGAAAGTACAAATGCTCTTTTATATGGAACTCCAGACTCTCCTTGTTGGTCCAGAGGTACTGAAGTATTTGGTAGTTATTCACAGCACCTGGGAAATTTGGCCTTACTTCCTGTTCCTTTCTTCAGACATCCCGGCTCATCAGTATTTGAACAGCTCTAAGGGCAAGATACTTAGACTTGTGGGAGTGTAAACACAGAACAACTCAGTTGCTCCTCCACATTCCAGAATCCAGCAGATCTGAAACACACACCTTATTTGCCTCTTCCAGAGGTGGCTTTCAGCCTCACCAAAAACCATGTCAAAACTTAATAGGGAACCAACCAACTGGGTATTCTGATTCCAGGAAGAGTTGAGGATAGATTAAAGCTACGATTATCTTCTCAAATGCACCTCTATTAAAATATTGGAAAAGAAAACTCAAAGGAAATCGAAAAGCCCTCAAAGGCATTGGTTTGCTGATATATGTTATACATATAACCCTCTGGAAGATAAAGGATCCCAAATTTATAGGTATATCCGTTTCAGTGAAGGCCAATTTCAAACCACTCTTTTTAGAAGACTTGAAAAGAGAGGCAGCAGGGCACACAGTATAACACTTTATACTAATTCCACTATAAAGATATGGTAACTATAACCTCAAGAGCAAAAATGAAACTAAATTATAAAACAATAATGATCAGTCTAAGTATTTTTAACTTATTATTTAAATTTAAATCATGTATGACAGCTAAGGAGCATAAATTCTGACATTTTAAATGATTTTGCTCTTGTGAGCATGTGTGAACTAGCTCCAGCTCACCACTACCAAGGAAATTGGTACACAGCAGAAATAGAGCCAAGTTCAGTATGGCCTGAACCATAAAAATGTGATGAACATAAGAATACAAATTAGGTCCATGGCCAAAAAGGGGTTATGTGGGTAAATGGCCCTGAAGTTGTTGCTTCTTTAGCTTCATGGTAAATCTACTTTTGGTAAACAGATTTCTCAACACACTAAAACAGGTGTACAAGGAAAAGTGGTAGCCTTAAAGGGACTGGATTCAGATCATGTCTGAGTAAATGCCAAGTCAGAGTTTTTAGGCACTCTGAAGGAAAGTGAGGTGGTCAGACTATGGAAAGTAGAGTCAGACCTATAAGTAGAAGAAAAGAGCCTACACTCTGCCCTTGGGCTGTGAGGCTGGATAGGTCTTGTTAGTATCAGAGGAAGAGAGTCTTAGGCTGCTTCTCACCTGAGTTAGAGCCACTTCTGCAGGCAAGTTAGGAAAGATAAAGTAAAAACTGGTCCTGAAAACACAGAGACAATATAGTACATAACTCAGGAGATTTTGGGCAAGGTGATTTATTTTTTTTATAGCTTCAACCCTTTAGTAGTGACAACAGAGCTGAGAGATTGTTTTTTCCTTCTTGATTCAAGCCAGTTTATGATGATAGATTTGGTACTTTCTTCTCTCTCAGATATTAGCATTCAAGGTAGTTAGGAACTGTTGCTGTAGAAGAAACCAAAACACAAAATTTAAAAGATACAAGTGATTCAAGATAATTAAGAAAATGAAAACTAATCCCATAAAGGAAAAAAAAAAAAAACAATTACCTGTCACTTCAACTACAAATACGTTTAGTTTTTTTTTTATTTTAGTCTAATATTTTTAGTTGTAGATGGACACAATACCTTTATTTTATTTATTTATTTTTATGTGGTGCTGAGAATCAAACTCAGTACCTCACACATGTGAGGCAAGCGCTCTATCACTGAGCTACAACCCCAGCCCAGATACTCTTAGTTTTATAATACACATTGCTTCCTAAAATACCCTAAGTGTTTATTTGTCCATGTTTGGTACCCATTCAAGGCAATAAATGAAGGGCCATGGAAATTTCAATTCTAAATATGTGAAATAATTTTAATTTAAAATTAAAAGGAAAAAGAAGGCTAATTCTAACTATTATATTTTATATTAAATAAAAACATCAATATGCACATAAGTGCATACATACATACACACACACACACACACACACACACACACACACACACACAAGGGTATATACCTATACACTGAAAGTTTTGAACAATGATCATCCCTGGATGGGCCAGGATTGACCATGATTCATTTTTTTGCAAACCTGTATTTTTAAAAAATGCTTTTAATTTGTTTAAGTGTCATAAGAAGCAGAACGATTTAGATCTCACAATTTATTGAATGAGTTAGGAGAGTGAAGGTAGACAAGATTCAGGCAATTCGAGGTCTTTGGGTAGACCAGACTCTTAATACCATCAAAGCTAAAAGCATCCTTTAAAATTATGAATAATGAAACAAATTAAACATAACATGAATTCAATTACTTAAGTTAACCCTAATTATAAACTTAAGTATAATGGTGAAAATTACAAAGTATTTTTAAAACCAAAACAATATACAAAAAGCAGGGGTTTCTTAACAGTAACCTAGATCTAAAATCTTAATTTAAATAGCATAAAAATCAATGGAAATTGGAGAATGTTAAAATATGTGAAGCATCCCTCATGTTAAATGTAGTCTTCAAAGCTCTTTAATTCGATATGATCATATTATATGGTTCCTACTTCTATTTCCATACTTTTTATACCTCATTCCTTAATATCACAGTGGAAAATTACAAATAAAATTCTATAGAATAGTAAAAGAAAGTAAATTTTAAGATATGCTAAGGCTCAGGAAATCTACCACTCACATGTCAAGTTGACTAAAAACTAACAACTCAGGAAAGTTATAACTTGACACAAATTAGCTGGTAAAGTAAACATTCTTTGATCAATCTCTTTTCTGAGAATTTATTCCAGGACCTAACTGGACAGTTGTTCCAAGATGTTTACATCCATGCAAAGGTATTTTTATGGATGTTTGTAATAACTAAAAACTGGTAATAGCCTAAATATTCATAACAGTAGACTTTTAAAATAAATTATTTTTATGTTACAAAGTGGTGATAGAGATCCATGTTTTAAGAAAAAGAAAGTTGTCCATAATATTCTTGAACAAAAGTATATGTAAGGTCTTCTAATATTTTACTTAGAAAAACATTTAAGAAGATGCACATATAAGTTGTTATCATACATCCTCTTTGGGTAATATGATTATGAGAATTTAACTTTAATTCTCACATCTCTCAAGGTTTCTTAGATATTTTAGTATGTATTCCACAGTACATTCAAATAAAAAAATACTTTTTGAAAATAAGAAGGTATTTGCCTGGCTACCATACATTCTTCTTGCACATGAATTTCAGAATCTTTTCCCAATTCTTCTTGTCTATGTCTCAAAAAAAAAAAAAAAAAAACATTTGGGTTTACATTAAATATTTCACCATATGAACATTATTGATTTGGGGAAAGAATAGAGTAAAAACTTAAAGATGGATTGTTTCTAGTAATTTGGTATCACAATTAGTTCTGCTATGAATACTCTCCCTCAATGTGAATATATATATATATACACACACACATACATAAATACATACATACACACACACATTAATGGTACACACTAATTAATGGGATCTGGTGGATTATGCATTGGCTAAACTGTAAACAGTTCTGAAACTTTCACAAATTGCTTTTGCACATTTATGCTCTCTTCAAGGTTATATAAAATTTTCAGTTCTTATACTCATATGGTTTTTGTTAAAATATTAGATAATTTTTATAATATTAGATATCATGGTAGTAACATATTGTATTTTTAATTTGTGTCTTCCACCTGAATATTGAGGTTCAGAACATTTTAGTATGTGCATTGCTCAATCAAATTCTGTCTCTTTTGTAGTACATATTGAAGTATTTTACCTATATTTTTAAAATCAGTATACCTTTCTTTTACCCATTCTTTTGTAGGACTTCTTTTTTGCATACCATTTATACAGAATGTGAACAAATATACATTTGTTGAATACAAGTATGTCTTCCAATCCTGTGGATAACGTTTTCACTTTCATAGCAATATGTTTTAATGACTAGAAACTCCTAATTTCAACAAATCCATGGGTTTTCTTTATGGTTAATATTGTTTGTGTCTTACTAAAGGTAAAAATGATATTTGATATTTCCAAATTTTTATTTTAGATATTTTCTTATTTTATTTTTCACATTTATATCTAAAATAAAATTATAATGTTTTGGGGGGGCACATATTTCAAGTTGTGTTGCATTGTGTGTTTGTGTGTGTGTGTGTGTGTGTGTGTAAAGATTTTCAGATAGTAGTCAAGAATTTTTTTCAATGAAATTTTTCAACCAACCACATACTAAAATCATACTTTTCAAACTGAAATCTCTCTTTTGTCATAATTAATTAAGCTTAAAATGTTAGTCTTTCAATTTATAAAAATAGCATATTCCACTAATTATTTTTCTTTAATGCTACTTCACATTGCATGTCTTTCAATGTGCATATGTGCTGAATATACCTCCATAGATTTCTAGATATTTGATGTTTCCAGGTATTTGGTATAACTTATATTATTCAAAATGAAATACTTGCAACTACTAAAGTATACAAAATCCTAAATGTTCAGTTCAATTTCACAGTTGTATACATAAATGAAACCACAAGTTGGATTAAATATAATTTGTTATTAGTACTTCAGAAATATACTTCACTATACCATTAGGTACCATTTATACCTAAAAGTGCCCCTTATTCTATCTAGAGATTAGTTTTGTCTTGAATCATTTTTTATATAACATGAATAATCCCTTCTTGATTCTGGCTTCTTTCCATACTATGTCATTGAAATCATTGAAATTTATCTTGGTTCCTATACCTAAATAATGTTTGTATGTTTTACTTACAGTACAGTATTCCATTAGATAAATGTGGCAGGATTTATATATTCATTCTTCTGTTGAAAACTTTTGCACATTATGAATAAATCTACAATAAGCATTATTACACTTTCAATTAAAAAATCACTCATTGCTATTGAAGACAGAGGGATTTCTGAATCATAGGTTTACCCATTAGCTTACCTAGTGCATCCCAGATTGAAATTCACCTTTATATATGTGTTCTGCAATTTTTAATGGAATCTCTTTAAGCATCATCTCAGTAGAGGGCATCAAGGGATATTGCAGGAGGATAGAGTACAAATACAGTTATCATCTGCAGCATGTAGGTCAGCAATATGAGTGTGAGCATATGGAGTGCTGCTCTACTCAGATGCATACCCAGAAACTGGAAACTGCTGTCTCTATGCTCCTTTTGGTGCCACTCACATAGTTTTGTCCATCCCTTCATTTTGAGTCTACGAGAGCCTTTAACTGTAAAGTGAGTATTTGGGAGTTTATTTGGATCTTGTTTTTCTTTCTTTCTTTTGTTACATTCATTCCTTTTGATTGGGTAATTTAATCTATGTTCATTTAAGTGAATTATTTTACATAAGGACATAATGGTGCCTTTTGTTAATGTTTTTCTCTGTGTGCAGCTCTTTTGTCCTTTTTTTCCTTTGGCTTTATTCCTTTGGATCTCTGGTCTAATTCCTAGGTCTTTGATACATTTTTGAGTTTTGTTCAGGGTAAGAGATATGGGTTAAATTTCATTCTACTACATATGGATTTTCATATAATTCTTATTCATCTATAAAAATGATTAGGTTTGCTTTTTTAAATACCCCCCCATATTCTCTACATCAGAATGTATAAGAATGACATAGTTTGTTCCTTAAATATTTGGAGGATGTAATCATTTAAATTACTTTTCCATTTCTTTACTAATATCCTAATATGTCATTATTTATGTGTCTTATTTGCCACGTGACTTTGTAGTACATCCCATTGGAGCGAGTGGAGCATATTACATACACTTTTCCATGAATGATGAGTTTGCTGTTGTGATTTATTTAATTAATCAAAATATAAGTTAAAATGATTATGCAAGGGTTGGCTTAATTTGACTTGGCTTTTGTGTCCTGATTCATGCCCAAATATCAACTTTGTAAGAAAATTTAAAATTATAGCATCCAGATCTTTAATGATATCATTGAATTAATATATATTCCCATAAATGTTAGGGTGAGTGCAAACCACCCTTCCTTCAGGATAGGACAGGGAGGGGAGATTGAAAAATTAAGAAACCAAGTTTCATTGCTTATAATTATAAAATAAACTCTAGTGAGAATAACAAAGAATATTATGAATAAATATAATTGTTTTTAAAGGAACCATTTTAAGTGGTCCTAGACAATGATCAAAACATAGGTTGCAAGGTGATTTATTACATTGTTCCATACTCACTTTTCAGTGGGGGATGACTTGATGCTGCTAGTGGTAGTGTTTTCTTCTGCCATAGATCTATGAAATCAATAAATTTATTTAAAAGTGGAGAAAATTTTAAGTTCTTTTAAAGACTGTTCTTCAAGCAAACAATATCAAATATGTAGCATGTCTTTTTCCAACATAAAACAACAGGCACAATCTCATTGTTGAAGTGAATGCTATCAGGCACCTTGCTTTGCTGATTGGCTCTTTTCACCTCAATGTGAACTTATTCAAGCATTTATGCCATAAGCCCATCTGTAGAGGAAGGCCCCTGTACTCTATGGTATTTCTAATTCTTCAGATCAAATTAAGCCAAAACTGTTAAGTAGCACTAAAAAAAATCAATTAATCAAAACATTATATGGTACTCCATATGGCAAAATCCTGCAAATTATGTAAGGAAACTCAATACTAAAATTATGTAAGGAAACTCAATACACATACTAAAATGTGTGTGATTCTTTATAGTTAATATGGTGATTTCACTTACTCAGTTGATGAATCCAAAAGTTTGATACATTAGAAATCCATTATCATCTTATACTCTATGGAGTTAGTTATACAGAATAGTTTGAAGTACATAAAAATTAAATCACTTGCTCAAGATATCAGTTTTACATTCAAGATTTAGAATTTGTGAACAAGTTTTCCAAAGCTAAGAGTTATATTTCAGATGACATACAATACTGCTTTCTGACTCTGAATCTAATATTAACAGCCATACATGTGATTTCTAGTTAAGAATTGACACTGTAATAAATATCATGGAAGCAGGTTCAAAGATCTTATCTCTAATTCAAAAAGAGATTGTGTTGTAATACAGATATCGTGTTGATGACTGACCTGAGAAGCCATGCTTAATAAAACTATTGTTAGCAAGTTCCCTTGAAATGCAGTGTCACCTGTTCTTTAAAGCCTATGGGCAATATGGCTGTTTTAACAGGATCAAAAGTCTACATGTACCTTCTAAGATATTCTCGGCAGCCATGTTTCCTCCTACAGGGATACTGGTAGTAAACTAAATGATTCTAGGGTTGAACAATACTGGAAAACACACAATGGACATCAAACCAATTTGAATGTGTCTCCAGGTCTCTCCTTATGTTGCCTTACCTATAGTCATAGTCATTTCTGATAAAACACAAATACTATTTTCTCAATTTGTTTACTGTTATAAGAGTAAATATATACAACAAGTACATACCTGTCAGCTTCACTTTCCTCTCTGAAGCATTGCTTTCTTATTTTATCCTGATTAATTAAAAGGGCAATAGTAATGATAAGCAGAGGTACGGAAACGTACAAACTGACTTGAAAGTGTTGTTTTTGTGAACTACCAGGACCTCTATCTGCAGATTTTCCAGCTAGAACAGAAAATATCAATTTGAAATTAGGTCAGAGATTTCAATAATAACCAAATGAGACAATGGAGAAGGCATTATTATCAACATTATTCCCAAACCTCAAACACCTTATTCATATTGACTGTGAATAAAATAAAAAACAAGAAATGAACTAAGTATATAAATGTGCTGTTGGGAATATTTTACTGATGTTTTTGATTGCTCAATTTTTACACTACGTAATGTTTTCTTAGATTATATAATATTTGCAAACATTTACTAAATTATTTTCCAGTTTGTCAATTCACCTCGAAAGTCTTGCCATTTGTCAGCTTCCATAATGGTGTTGAGCCATTTTCATATTTGTTCTGTTTCTCTGAAGAAACCTTGATAGTAGTACAGATTTTGGTACTGGGAAGTAGGCTGCTATTCTAACAAATGCCTAAAAATGTGGAAATGACTTTGGAACTGGAAATGGGTAAAGGATGAAGTAGTTTAATAAGCACCAAAAGAAGGGGTTAGGGCTACCACCTTGGATGGTGAAGGTGACATTGCCATGCTAGTGAACCTGGAGAGAAGAATAGCAACCAAAATGGAATTATTTGAGAAGCCATAAGATCCAACGCAACTTGCCTTGCTAGATTTTGGACTTTCTTGTGACCTAGTACCACTTCCTTCTTTCCAATTTCTCCCCTTTGGAATGCATCTCCTGTTCCTATCTCACCCTTGTACTTTGGAAGCATTTAACTTGTTTGACTTCACAAATTCATAACTCTAGAGGAATTTCGACTCAGGATGAATCATAACTCTCACTCATACCTGACGTAAACTACATTCAGATGAGATTTTGGACTTGCAATTAATGCTGGAATAGGTTAAGATTTGGGAGTCTTCTGGGATAGACTGACTATAATTTTCATGTAAGAAGAATGTATCCTTATAAATTTGAAGAGCATTGAATATAATATTATGGATGAATAGGCAAAAGGTGAAAACAACCCATCAATATATGATAAATAAATAAAATACGGTATATATTCACAATAGAAAGTTATTCAGCCTTCAAAAGCAATGAAGTTCTGACATAAGCTACCTTGAGGACATTATGCTAAGTGAAATAAATCAATCACTAAAACACAAATGCTGTATATTTCCAATTATGTGAGTAGCCAAATTCATAGAGAAAGTAGAATGCCCATTTCCAGGGTCTGGGGAATAATACATAATTGACATAATGTATCATCTTTACAAGATTTTGACAAAAGCTCTAAAGAGAGATGATGGTTGCATGATGATGTACAACAAGAATGTACAATGAAGTTTACACACTGAAACGCATTTAGATCATAAAATTTGTTATGTATGGTCTGCCACAATTAAATGTGTGTGCATGTGTTATAAAAGGTCAAATATCCTAGACATGGCATCGGGAAGGGAGTGAGCAGCCTCGAGACCTGCGCCGCCATGCCCCCAGGGTGTGAGATGTGGAGAGGACTACCGGTAACTGGGGCCTGGTGGGTAGGAGAAGTGAGGGGGATAGAAACCAGGAGCAACCCAAAGAGACCAGGATTGGGGAGACCTAGCAGGGGAGAGAGAGCCACCCCACATGGATTACTTTCTACATCCTGAGGGAAGAGACTTAGCCTGGAAAGCACGACACCACCTACTGGAAGAGAAGAAAATAGAACTCTAAGAATGCATTCTCCCCCGCCCTTTATATATATATATATTTTTTTTTTCTTCTTTCTTCTTTTTTTTCTTTCTTTTTTCCTTTTCTTTTCTCTCTTTCTTCTTCGTTTACTTATACTCTTCTTTCTCCCTCTCTTCTCCTCCCAGCCTCCCAAGCATTCTTCTACTACGTGTAATTTACTAAATGCAAATAGGTGAATGTTTCTAGGCTTCCTATAGTCCTCCTAAGTACTTAGCTACCCCCAAATACTCCTATCTATTCTCCTGTTAATGTCCCTCTTCAGTAGAACTCTTCTCCAAAGTAGCTAAGATATACTAACCCCCATATCCTCTCATCTTTCCACCTAAACATAAAGTCCTAAGACCAAACCTCAGTTCTCTATACACCATCAGAATCTGTATGTCTTTTATGAAATTAATGAATTTCCTTTAAATTATAATTGAACCCAACATCTCTAGACATTGTCTCCCATCACAAAGGAGAGATCTCGGAGTTATACAAAAAATACAAATTTACAGGAGAAAATAATAACACAGCATTCAGAGCTGGAAAGAATCATGAGCATCATGAAAAAACAAGGAAAAAAGGAACACAAAAATTGCAGGACAGCTCAACATTACAGGAGTTGCTAGCCACAGCAGAGAGATTGTCAGAAAAAGACTTCAAGATATGCATGCTTCAGATGTTATGGAGTCTTAAAGAAGACCTTAGACAGCAAATGCAGATAATGAAAGATCACTTCGAGAATGAATTACATCAACAAATCCAAGAAGCAAAAGAGCAACTCTACAGGGAGATAGAGGTTATACAAAAACAACAACAAAAAAAAAAAAAAAAAAAGAAAGAAAGAAAAGAAATCCTGGAATGAAGGAAATTATAAACCAAATTAAAAACTCAAATTAGAGTATCACCAGTAGAGTAGAACAATTAGAAATCAGAACATCAGACCACGAAGACAAAATATATCATCTTGAAAAGAGCCTAGACAACTCAGAAAGGCTTATAAGAAACCATGAGCAGAACATCCAAGAAATTTGGGATACCATAAAAAGACCAAATTTAAGAGTTATTGGGATAGAGGAAGGTATAGAGGTCCAAACCAAAAGAATGAGCAATCCGTTCAATGAAATAATTTTGTATTTTATTTAGAGACCTGCGTGGGCTCTCTCTCATCTAGCGAGGAGGTTCACAGGACAGGGTAGAGGAGAGGGTGGCTGCAGAGTCACAAAGCAAGACCTCCAGAGACCAAGCAGGAAGCAGGTCTAATTTTATTGCACAGTTACCACGTATATATACTCAGGCAGTTAGCTAAGCAGATTACAGGCAACCACCAATGCAATTTCTGCCAACTGTCCTTGCCACAACCAATTGAAAAGTGGGCTGTGAAACAAGCACAGGGAGTGCAACATGAAGCCTCACTCCCAGGGCTGTGTCTACAGGGTAAGGCATTTTCTGCTCACATGCCTAACAAGAAGGAATGGTTTGCCATTCAGAGGCCCTTAACGTATTCCATGTATGTAGTAATCCATGCACTTGTCCCCACATACCTATAACTAAAAAATATTTTTAAAGACTATTAAATGCTTTTGCAATAGAAGTGACCAAAAACTTTTATTATGAAATCTTCTATATCACAGGTAAGTAAATCATACTCCCTTTAGTGAAGTGTATGAGTGTGCAATATATTGAACAGATGAGATCTTTTCCCATAAGATGTTTATAGACTAAATGGAAGTTATAATAATTTGATTTTCTACTGTCAGCTAAGTATGCATGTAGAAGAGCAAAGTGTACTTTGTATTTGCTCAAGGTAGCAGAAATTTCTGCAGCCACACTCCTCTCTACCCTGTTCCGTGGACCTCCTTGCTATATGAGAGAGAGCCCACACACAGATGAACATGATATCTTTATTTTATTTTTATGTGGTGCTGAGGATTTAACCCAGTGTCTCATGCATGGTAGATGAGCATATTACCTCTGAGCCACAACCCAGCCCCTAATGATTCTTTTTATTTATAAAATGAGAGAAGATAACTTCTGTAGAAGTTATATATATATATACATACACACACACACACAAGATAACTAGTATTGCTGCCAGACTTAGAACATATGTTAACATATGAGCCTCCCATAAATCCTTAATTTTAAAATGTGGAAATATAAGGTTATTCTTCTCTAATTTTTAATAACATGGAGGATGAAAACAGAAAAGGGGAAGATACAATAAAACAGAAATTTATCCACTCTTTCTTCAAAAAGATTATGGTAAGTTAAATAATCCAGATGTGGAAAGGCAAGTATGACATGTTCTCCCTCATATGTGGAAGCTTAAAAAAAAGTCAAACTTAATATAGAATAATGAATAGTAGAGGTTGATAAGAATGTGGTAGGGTGAGGAGGCTGGACAAAGGGAGGTTGAATTTTATCAGTGCTTACTGTATGCTCATGTGGCTCTATAACACTAAGGCACTTTGGGAGTGTTTAAAAGTGACAAGCATTTTAGACATAGATAACCTAGAAAATGAAGTATGCAAAAGACCTGACTGACAAATAGCCCTTCTTCCAGTACAAGCCTGTAGATACAAAGTAAGTGGACATGTTTTGTAGAACTGAAAAATAAATCTTGACCTTGCTGCTTCTGTCAAATAAAATCCCAAGAAATCCAAGCTACAATACTTTCATTACAAAGATATTTTACTTGATGACCTAACTTGCTTTGAAAGCACTTTGCTGTGCTGACACCAGCAATCAAAATAATAATGGCTTGATATGGAGTAGAGTTGCAAGTCAAAATAAATTTTACTGTTAAGTTTATTCAGTTTTGCTAATACATAAAAATGAGGGTGTCTTAAAAGCTAAAAGCAATTCACAGAAGTATATTGGAAAATAAAACAGAAAGGATAAAAATATATGACTATATCATGGAACAAAAAGTTATTTTTATTTAATATAAGGAATGTCTAATTATTCCTATTTATTTATGTTTTTAAAGTCTGATATTTGTGTGCCTCAAGAACATAGCCAGCATAATGGACCCAGTGAAGAGTTTATTAAAGTTAAATTGCAACATTGGAGGACTTTCTTTTTCTCATTATAAAATGCTACTATATCTTTCTCAACAATAAGATTTGTTTATGTCATAAACAATTATCACTAATACTGTTCACTAGTCCTATTATGCTTTAAACAACAAATGTAAGCAATATAGAATAATATATAATCATTTATATATCTACTTTTTACTTTTTTGTGAAAATAATATATATATATATATATATATATATATATATACACACACACAGATACACACACACACACACACACACAGTCATACGTAACATCTTAGCTTTTCTTTTAGCCTGATACATAGTTGGATATGGCTATATATCATCTCTCTAAAAAGTTAATCACCTTATAACAACCAACTACAGAGAAGTCTGACTAGGACTTGCATGATTTTCTTATAAAGTCCCAAAAGGAAGGGGGATAGGATGGACAGCTCACCAGTGTTCCCAGTTAATTTGAATGAGTTTGACATACCTTGTAGAACCAGGGGATGTCCCCTAGTTTTTTGCAGTCTCATCTTTTTTTTTTTTTATCTCAAAATACTACTCAGGTACAGCAAGGGTGAAATGCAAAAGAAGAAATTTCATAAGACTACTTTGGAGTCACATGGCAGGAGAAAGACAACCAAGTATCAAGTCAATAGGAAAAAAAAGACAGCCTGAATCCCAGGAATATTATTATAACCATGACTAGTGAAACATTTGAAACTAGGAATATCTGAGACAATTAAAAGTGAAAAATTTGAATTAACTGGTCAAAGTATATGCAATGGAATTCCTACTTTTAAAATTGCCTAATATTAGGTACACTTTTTTATTCATAAACAAAGTCAGTGCTAAGACAGAAAGAACATTACAAACCTACAATTTCAGATTTTAAAAAGTCTAACAAATAAAATAAAGCCATATCTGTTGACATAAGGTTATCTGTGTAATCTAACTTCAAACAAAGTATTAAGGACACCAACCCATTTTAATTTCATGTCCATCATCAACACTTCCAAATCCCCCAGCCTTCTTTGCACAGTCAGGAGGGGTATATCCTTCCTCACAATGGCAATGGTTAAAATTGTTGCAAACCTGGAATAATAAAGATAGCTTTCTATAAAAACTGATAGCCTATGCTTAATCCACAGAGCATCTCATTACAAAGAATTTATCTTAAATAAACAAATTCATTAAATTTTCCCTGATGCATGCCATATAACATATAACTTTGGTTGCCAAATCAATTTTTTAAAATTCTTTTAACTTTATTCACAGCCAGACACAAATACCTTGTAATTACTAAAAATATACCACTAATTATAATTTACTTGCTAGTTTTACAGGACAGCCCATACTAAATTAAACTAGCTAGCCTAGCAATAAGATTCTAATGACATTTTTAAACACTTTCTGCCTTCTTTTTATAAAAAATAAGATCTTTTTTTTTTTAACAAAATGTCACAAACACATCCACTACAAACACTTAGTAAACATCTTATACATCCAGAATCATCTTTTACTTCCATAATGGTTTTGCAAGTTTCTTAACACTACAAGTTTTAAGCTATAAATTATAGACTATTAAAGAACACCTTGTAGCACAAAATTACCCAAAAAAATCAAATCTTTTTTTTTAAAATCCCAATTGTTCATTGAATTGTTAATAGCATGCTGCTTAAAATGAACACTAAAGTTACTTACCCCATGGTTATCACAATTTCTAGTAGCATTGCAAATACTGTCATCTATAATGAACCGAACTTCTTTACACTGCATTCTTTCACAATACTAAGGCAAAGCAAAATAAAGTAAAAAATATAAGCAATCAGATTTTGTGCATAATAACACATAAGAAAATTTCAAGAAAATCCCAGAGTTCATATTACCCAGAATTGGCATAAAAATCCCTGAGTACTCCATAAAGTAAAAGGTAATGGTGACATCACTGAAATAGTTATGTACCTGTGAATTATAAAGATAAAAATCATATGCAAGAAGTTGAAGTTTTTGTCTCACCATCTAACACTAGAAGTACTCTTCTAAAGATAAATGATGAGAAAAATCATAATTATCTCAGAAGCATTTAACAATACCCATGCTTGGTCTCCACCTGAGACCATTATATCAAAAGCTCTGGGAACAGGTTCAGACATTTTTTACAAGCAGCCAGGGTTGAAAACTAAAGGTCTTCTTTTAGCAATAGTAATATTCAATTGAATTATTCATTTACCAATAAGAAAATCGTTTGACTCCATTATAAAAAATAAAATCAGCAAAATTTGACTTTTTCAACTGAAACAATGAATACAACTCTAAAAGTACTATTATAAAAAAACAGTCAAAGAAAAAATGTTCTACAAATTTGTTATTGAGCTGTACTATACATACCAGGGGTTCTGACATCATTCTGTCACACTCAGGTGACTGTCAGGCTACAACTCCAGATATTAGAACTCAGACTTAGAACAATGGCATAATGCTATTCTATGTGGATAGCATCTGACCCGCCAGAAAAGAAACAATCCTACACAATGGTGAAGCTGAGTTCAAGTCAGTAATCCCACTACACATGGTGTAGGCTTAAGAATCAGCCTAGCACCTCATACCCAGCCAGGCTAACTTAATGTGAGAACAATTCTGGAACCCCATCCCAATGAGACCAACCCCCAAGCTAGCATACCTACAATACCAAGCATACACTGAGCTTAAGAATCATCCTTCCTCAGGGAAGACTCAAAAAACTGCTGCAACTTTTGCCACAGAGGTACTCTCAGGTATTGCTGACATGGACTATTTCTGAAGAAACAGCACTAGCACTATAGTACTTAATTCATGCAGAACAAAAGCAAAGGCACTGTACCAAATCAACACTCATCTATAAGAAAAAATCTTTTAAAATCCTGTGAAAGAGTGCAAAGTTGGGAGAGTCAAATGTTTCAATATAGACACAGATATCAATATAAGGACACAAGAAGGATGGAAAACAAGACTGCACCAAAGGAACCCAAGAACTGTTTTATGTTGTGTTACACAATAATAATTAAAAATAATAGTTTCTTGGAGTCTAATAATTGACCCCAAAGAAAGACAAATATAAATTCCAATAATTCCAAAAAATATTATCTTTAAGATACAAAGTAAGGTACAGTGAATATGCAGAGAAAATCCAATGATGTTAGGAAAAAAACTCATGACTGGAATGAGAAATTCAAAAAAGAAATAGATATATAATAAGTACTAATCAAATTATTGGAATTGAAGAATTAAATGAATGAAATAAAAAAATACAATTGACAGCTTCACCATCAGAGTGATCAAGCAGAAAACAGAATTTCTTAAAGTAAAGATAAGTCTTTTGTAAAAATCCAGTGGCAGAGGAGTGGAGGAAAAAAAAAGAATTTAAAAATTAAGACAACCTGCAGGACTCATGGGACATCATTAGGCAGACAAATAATTGCTTCATGGTAATCCCAGAAGAAGAAGAGAGAAAAGCACATTTAACAAAATAATATCCAGAAAATCCCTAACTCTGGAGAAATATGAAAATCAACATCAAGTAAACTCAATGGTCCTTAAAAATATTCAGAACAAAGAAGTTCTCTCTGAGACACATTATAATCAAATTGTCAAATGTAAAAAAAAAAGAAAGAAAGAAAAGAAAAAAGAAAAAATAGAGTAAAATTTTAAAACATCAAGAGAAAAATATATCAAGCCAAATAAAAGCAGATTGCTCACCAAAAATTTTGCAGGCCTGAAGAGAATGGAATATTATATTCAAAGGGATAGAAAAAAAAAAAAAACAAAACTAAAGTCAGCCCAGAATATACCAAGCAAAGCTAGCCTTCATAAATAAAGAAGCGGAGGTTAAAATGGTGGGCTAGAGGGAGGCAGCATTCTGTGTCACTCCATGATTCAGATCTCACCTAGTCGAAACACTGCATCTCTGAGTGTGTTGGAAGACCCCTATACAGCTGCTCTCCACAGATATCATCAGAGCTGTGAACCCATGCAGGGCACTGGGCCATAGCATTCAAGCAGGATGCTGAGCATTTGAGGAGGACTCCAGGCTCCCAGCACCCAAAGCCACACAAGGCTTGCGAGTGCCTTAGCAGAATCACCTATCAACACATCTGCAGATCTCCAAGACTTTGCTCCACTCCCACACAGGTCACTCAGCTGCTACTTACCCACAGCACAACACCATCATCTGGCTCCCCTCAACACACACACACCAGATACCCTGGCACTAAAAGCAGACTGCCTTCATCTTGGCTCAATGTTCTTGCCATATTAGGTGGGGGCAGCTCCCAGATCAGATCTCCAGCAGCCAGGTACCTATCTCTCTCCCAGCCACAGTAACCCAACACAGTAGCTGTCCAACACAGATGTGCAGTGCAACCAGAGCACCGCCCACGGGGGGGTCCAGTGTGAGAGTTTCCTCAGTTGAGAATTGCTAAGGGAGAGGGACACGGGGCTAAAGTTTGAAGCCTAACAGAGAGACCAGGAACTGGGAAATCTCCAGGCAAGATAGGGAGATAGTACTGGGCGCTCAACTCATATGAGCGGTCCCAAAAAGAGACTAGTGAGGTCCAGTCTCCCTGCAGGGACTGGCAGGTGCCACTCCCCACTTCCAGGAGTCCTGCACCAGGACCACTCTTCGCACCCTGGTTACCTCCACCATCTTGATGGCAGAGACACCAGCTTACAATAGACAACCCCACCTATTGGATGAGAAGAGAAGCAGGAATGATATGGATCTCTAAAACTAGCAACAATCCTGGTTTTCTTCCTTTGAGATTTTTTTTTTCTACCTTTCTCTTCTACCCCTCTATCCTCCAGCCCTCACATCCCCAACATATGTGAAACCAAGAAATTTTCATGAAGGAGGATTTTGAGGACTGAGTCATCTGAATGATGTAATATAACATAGAGGTGTTGTATATGCCCTTTCCCACTCTTTTCTTTTCCTTTTCCTTCTTTCATTTTTGTTTTCCCCTCCAAATTTTACTATTTCAACATTCTGTATTTTTCGAAATACACATGTGTGTTTGTTTTATGTACTCTACTATCTTCCCACAAACTTGCCTGCCCTAAATTACTTCCCATCTATTCTCTTGCTACTAACCCTCTTCCTTAGATTTCTCTTTCACACTTCCTAAGATATATCTCTGTATCCTCACAACCTACCTCCTCAGCATATCATCTTACATCCCATCCCCAGTTCATTGTCCACCATCAGAAACTGTAAAATTGTTTTACAAAAGTACTGATTATATTTTAGATAATAATTGAATCCAACATTTCTGTACATTGAGACTAAACTGTAAATGTCTTAATAACTACAAATTGTTTTATGTGGTATATTGTCAATAATGGGATCTGTTAACATTGCCCTTCCCCACAAATGAGAGGTCTTGGAACACTACAAACCTATAGGGTAAAACCAATAACACCCCAGACCCACAGAGCTGGAAAGGAAGACATACAAGCAACATGAAAAGATAAGAGAAGAAAGTGCCCCAGACAAATCAAGACACCACATCATTTGAAACCACAACAGAAGAAAGACAGAGAAGGTGTTCAGGATGTACATGGTTAAAATGCTCTGTTAACTCAAGGAAGATATGAGAGAGCAAATATGGACAGTGAAAGATCACTTTGACAAGGAGCTACATAAACAAATATAGGAAGCAAAAGATCACCTCAACAGGGAGATAGAAGCATCTATGTACATCAACCAAACCTTTCTAAATTTCAAGAAGCAAATAGAGAACACCACAATAATGCTGGGTGACTTTAACACACCTCTCTCACCACTGGATAATTCCTCTAAAATAAAACTATATAAAGAAGCTATAGAACTACAAATACAACTAATAATTTAGACATACAAATTTATAATAGTTCTCCATAAATGACTGAATATATCTCTTCTCAGCAGCATATGGATCCTTCTCTAAAATAGAGCATATTTTAGGCCACAAAGAAACTCTTAGAAAATGTAAATAATGATGATAATAACTTGCATTGTAGCAGATCAAAATGGAATAAAATTAGTAATCAATGATAAAATAAAAAATATAACTTACTCTAATACTTGGAGACTAAAAAATATTCTTTTGAATGTCCAATAGATAACAAAATAGATCAAGTATGGAATAAAAAAATACTTAAAGGCAATTGAGAATAGTGGTATGACATATCAAAATCTCTGTGACACTATGAAAGCAGTTCATTGAGCTTATTCATTAAAAGTCAAGAAATACATAACCTAACATTACATCTCAAAGCTCTAGAAAAAGAACAACAGATCAAGACCAAAAACAGTAGAAGACAGATAATAATTAAAAACAGAACTGAAATCAATAAAATTGAAACAAAAGAAACAATTCAAAAATTTGACAAAACAAAAAATTGTTTCTTTGATAAAATAAATAAAATTGATAAACACTTATTGAAGCTAAAAACTAAAGAGAGAGAGGACTCCAATTACTAAAATTCATGATGAAAAAGGAAATATCACAAGGGACAATAGTGAAATACAGATGGTAATCAGAACCTATTTTGAAAAGTTATACTTTTATTAAAGTAGAAAATCTTGATGACATCAACAAACTTCTAGAGACATATGACCTACCCAAATTGAATAAGGAGGACATAAAAATATAAGCAGATAAATTTCAACCAGTGAAATTGAAAATGCCATCAAAAACCTACAAAGAAAGAAAAGCCCAGGACCAGATGGATTCACAGGATTCACAGATGAATTCTACCAGACCCTCAAAGAA